TGGCACCAGGCCACACCCTCCCCTGTCTGCAGGCAGGATGGCACACCTGTGCAGGTGTGTGGGAACGCCCCGAGACCGCCTCCCGCTGGGGAGCCTAAAGCCTGCCACACTCTTCTTAAAACAACTCAGTCTCTTAAAAGAGCCTTCCTACTTGAACTCAACCAACCGGTAATTTTTAGTCATTTTGACGTCTGCGGAGCAAAACTTCACTTCATAGACATTTAGGTAACACAGGCAGGAATGTATATCAGAAGCAGATATCTTAATTACAAGCTAGCCTTATCGATTTATGTTGTTGTTGAAACTGGTTTCCTAGGATGAAAGAACTTTATAAATCTTCGCAGTACGTTGTGTATTTACAAGTAACAAAATGTTATTTCCTAAAAGAAGCCTGAAGCTTAGGTGGGCCTTCCCCCCACCCAGTGAGCTTCACGTTCATTTTACAGGGCGTGAAACTAAGGCTCAGGGGCTGAGCGCCCCTTCTGAGGTCATCCTTTCCCATCCCATATTTCCTGTCTGTCCTTCCACTTAAGTCAGGAATGCCATGGCCTAGCCCTTGCCAACCACACACCCCTGTGACCTTGGCACCAACCAAATTGCCCCCTTCCTTTTAAGTCTCAGTCTCATATTCTCAACTAATAAAAGCGCACACATTTCACAGTTAAAAAAGAAACCTCCTCTGCAGGGTCCCTGGTGGTATGTAAAGCAAAAGGGAAGGTGCTGATGAAATCCGCAGGTGCCACGTAGTCCTGGGCCCCGCGTGGCCATTCGTGGCACCCTTTGTTGACTGTGGGTAAGCCTGCCTGGCCTGCCACTTTCCTCCTTATGGAACTCCAATGGGCCAAGTTTTGACAGAGTGAGGTGGGAGTGGTGTGGTGTTCCCAGCCCCGCTGGAGACCAAGCCTATCCTATCCGCTCTTGAGCAGGGCTGATCAGAAATGCTGCATGTACTTAGAATCACTCCCAGCCACAGCCAATAAGGCGAGGCGGAGCCTGGGCCTGGTGAAAAGAGCACAGGTAGGTCAGAACTGGAGTCTGTCCCACCAGCTTGTCAAGGAGGTCTGCTTGAATAGGAAGGGGCAGTACAGGAAACTCGGTTTCCAGCTTCCATCCTCCTAGAGGCCCAAGAGCACATGGGGAGAAACCACACAGCCTCTTCCCTCGGACCCTCATTCAGCCTCTGCTGCCTATTACGCGGCTGCCCCTCTCTCCCACCCCTGCCCTCAATCTGCGCCAACAGGTAAGGCCTGGCTTACTCACCTGCTGGACAGCCCTTCTCTCCCGGGACCTTTTCATACCCAGGACAGCACTCGTAGCTGATGACTCTGCAATGAGACACACACGTGTAGTATTAGGCAGGGGTTCTCTCCTCTTCACACGTCACCAGTCCTCTCTGCAGGAAGAATGGCCTCCATTGACAGGGCAGGGGAATGGCGGGTAAAATATCCTGTTCGTGGAGGAGATCAGTCACTAAGTCAGATGTGCGCCTTTCCTTGGCCAGGAGCCTGTCATTCCTCCTCCGCTTTGTAGAAGCTTCCCAACGGCTGTCACCATCTATAGCAACCCACCTGGGGACCAGTCAGATGACTGCTGCAGCATGTTCAACAGTGGGATTCAAAAACATACCAAGAATTTATCTGCAACAGAATTCACGGGGACCCAACAGTTAGCATTCCTGAGAGGCAGCAGGGAGGGGCAGAGCAAGCCCTGGACCTGTTCTAGCTCTGAGGCTGCCACTGACTATCCGGGACCTCCGCAGCCAGTCGGCCTCCTCTCTGGGTCTGTTTCCTCATCTGTAAAATGTATGTATATATCATGCGATGGTCATTGGATTAAATCTCTCATGGATGTCTAGCTCTCCAGGTTAATAACCATGAAGGGTAGCGTGTATTATGATCAAGTTTTTCTCAGTCTTTTCAATCAAACTTTAAAACTTTTAAAATTGAAATAAAAAAGCGCTCCTTTTATCAAGATAATTTTAAAAATTTCTTTAAATTAAGAAAAAAATTTTAATCAATGGAAACATTCACATGGTTTCAAATTTAAAATATACAAAGAACGATATAGTAAAGTGTTTCCTATCTACCCTGATCCCTCAACCATCCCATCCTCCTTCCAGGAGGCAACCAACGTTGCCAGTTTGCAAGATTCTTTGTATTTGGAGGAACAAGGCTGGCAGCCTACATTTTTAAACGATGACATCATTTGGCAGAGACACTGAAAACCTTCTCTTGTTCTAACTCCAACCAGCCCATCATGGAACATATTTACCTTCTTCTGGAGGTCTGAAACACTTGGCTTCAGCTAACCCAACATCCTGGGGAAGCCCCAGGGCTGAGAATTTCAAGTATCATCGCAAGGAAGTTAAGTGTGCTAAAAGCCTACACCTAAGGCTTGCTTCACATCGAATCCCCCAGTTCTGACTCAGGCCACCCCTGCACCAGCAGTGTGAGCACAGCCCCTCCTTGGCAGCCCTGGAACCAGATGTAGAGAGCCCCATTCTGCCCCCTCCTTTCTCATACATGGATATGACCTTCGGGATAGAAGAGAACTCAGGCTTGAATCGCAATGGGTTTTATCACAGAACTGCTCACCACGGGGCTCTCCCAGGCTGTTTAATGACATCACCAGAAGAGAGGCAGGCAGATCGGGAAGAAACAGGGCTTTGGAGTGGGGCAGGGAGCTCTCAAGGAGTCCAGACATTCTGCTTTTATTAATTCCATTGGAGTCATCGCAGGGAAGCCCTGGTGAGTCATGAGAAGATGAAGTCTAATCCATCTCTTATCACAGGTGGTGTTTCAGAGACAGACTGGCTAGGCTTCTCAGGACGGATGCCAGGGACCTACATGTGTCACTCGGCCAGAAAGCTGCCCCCCCCACCCCGCCAACCCCCCTGCAGGAAACAGCTGAGGAGTGACAAGCCATGCACATGCTTCTTTGCCCTGCTCTCTCCACCTTCCTGGATTCCTTGTCCCCCTTTTCTCCAGCCCTCCTCCCATCCTTCCTTTCTAATCTTTCATCCCTATACTTATAAGATTTAATGGGCTGGTAGTCTCAAGACACACCTTGACTGACCCATAATTTTACCTTCAGAAACTGAAGTAAGATTTGATTGATACACAAACATTCAAAGGCAGCATGTGTAATAGAATAGAATTAGGACACTTGGCGTGTCATCAATCAGTAACTAACAGGGGTCACACGCCGGGTCCCCTAATTCTCTTTCTGAGTCTCAGTTTCCTGATCTATAAAATGGAATGAAGTTCAACTAGATGATCTCTAAGGTTCCTTCCAATCTCGCACTCAGAATTCTAGTCAATGGGATTATTTCTAAATTATTTCTTTCAAAGAAGAGGAGTGCCAGCTTCTCCCAGCTAAACCTAGGGAGAGCTCCGAGCCTCGGGCCCACAGAACCAGGGAACACCTGGGATCCCAAGCTTTCTCTGATAAATACCAGGGTTCTGTGACTGGGATAGAGGATGTGTGATTAGGTCACGTCCCCCAAAGCTTAGTTTCTTGCCAAAAGTGCCTGGGTGACATTCCACGGAGTTGGAGTTGGAGGATGGGTCTTTTCCTAAAAGCCTTCCTTACTTCTGGGGACCCCTGTATATATGGGACCCCATGTCTTGGAGCCCCCAGCCACACTGGCCCCGATGAGTCATGTGACTCACCAGAAGACTTTTTTTCAGGGTGTTAACATCTGAGTTCCATCCCAAAAAGACACAAGAGAGCTCAACAGCTCAGGTGGCCTCACCAGGACAAAAGAAAACCAATTCCTCAAGTGTGAGCTGGCTCCTGTGGCCATGTGCGGATGAAGGTGAAGGCTACTTAGGATGGAATCTGAAAGCTGCAAGGGCTCTGAGATCACAACTGGGTGGGGAGGGGGGTGTGTGTGGCAGATTGAGGACTCTTCTCGAATTTCATCAAGTCCAATCCCATTCCCATTGCTCTTGACAATGCACATATTTGGGGGGAAAGCAGACTGATTTGGAAAGTTTGACACTGAGAGGACACAGGTGTTCTCTCCAGTGTGATCAGAGCTAACCTCTGTCAGCATTCACTGTGCCTCTCCAGGTGGGCTTTCTGCACCCATGTCACTAGCGGCTGGATGCGGGTGGCACACTACCCCCAGCAGGGGCTCAGTCCCCCAGCTGAAGGCTTTTTCCTGATTCTCTGCCAGGAAGCTTCCTCTAATCCTGTCACCTTCCTGACCCCTCCCTCCCCTGCACGCCTGTTGCCCACAGTGGGCATCCTGGCACTCTCGAGGTGTGCAGGTGTAAGTCATGCCTCTCAGCCTGAGCCTGGCAGCCCTAGGGGTTGAGATGCTTCCATATCTGGCAGTTTCCCTGCTTCCAACTGTCCCAACAATACTAACTCTCCTCAGAGCCAGTCTGCACGGCCGCAGAGAAGCAGAGGGCAGCTGGAAACCGCGGACTGAGAAGATCATGCATCGAGACAATCTTAATGAAACCTCTCTGGACAAGCAGCCCCTGTTCTCAGCTCAGTGTGCCACCCACCTTGGGCTCTGGCCTGGGGAGAACACACATGCTGTGGGGAGATGGGGCTGGGGGCAATCACAGCATAGGGAGCGGGGGCTGATGCCATCTCTCTAGGATGAATGCAGCAAAGAATGGAGACCATGGGGGAGCCCCCATCTGTGTCTCCACAGTTCCTGAGCTTCCCTGCACAGAGGACCCATCTGTTGTTCTCTGAATCAAATCTCATCAGCTAAGGTGTTCTTAAGGCTACTAGCTCTCCTTGCTTAGACAGTCCAATAATTAAATACCTCAGGTCAGAAAAAGCATATCTTGGGCTTGGCCGAGGGGCTCAGTTGGTTAGAGCGTGGGCTCTGAGCAACAGGTTGCCGGTTCGATTCCCACATGGTCCAGTGAGCTGCACCCGAGCTGAGCTGCTGCTGAACTGCCAACAGGTGGCAGCATGGCTCAGCTGGTGAGAGCATGTGCTCCTAACAACAAGGTTGCTGGTTCCACTCCCGCATGGGATGGTGGGCTGCGCCACCCCCACCCCCCTACTCCCCAACCCCAACTAGATTGAAAGGGGTGACTGGACTTGGAGCTGAGCTTGCACCCTCCACAACTAAGATTGAAGGACAACAGCGTGACTTGGAGCTGATGGGTCCTGGAAAAACACAATGATCCCCTTCCCCAATTCCCCAACACTGCTCCCCTCCCCAATTCCACAATAAAATCTTTTTAAAAAAAAAAAGAAAAAAGAAAGAAAGAAAGAAAGAAAAGAAAAAGAAAAAGCATATCCCTAGGACAATGAGACACCATTTTTTTTGTTGTTGTTGTTCCAGCTTCCCTGGTCAGAAGAACAATTTGAGGAAGAAAGTGAGGGAAGGTGCCCGAATTAGAAGGGCATTTAATTGGGAGGAAGGTAAGAAGATAGTGTCAATGCAAGTTCTAAGAATAGAGCTATTAGGGAAGCGCTCCTTCAGTCCCCTCCACATTTTTTACTTATGATTGGATAAAACAGAAGTATTGGTTTCTCTCCCCAAATCATTTCCCAAGAAGTTAATACAGTAAGTTAAAACAATTACATTCTCCCAAGTATGCGCCGTAGTTTTTGGCCAGCTGTTGTGACTGTAAATGCTCTAGAGATTAACTAGATCCTGGATGTAGGTGGAGCAAGGAATGGAGCCTGAGAGCCGGTTTCCTGTGACAGAAGGTAAACCATTCAGTGTGTCATGATTTCCAAGTGGAATCGCAGAGCAAACACAGACCAGTATCGTCTAGACATTCAACATGCCCCGCAGACTACCTGCCTGGAGTGGTTCATTTTCTGCACTCCTGGCCTTGGAAACTCAGCTGAGCTTTCTTGAGCCTCCCAGCAGAAAATCATATAATCTTGAGTAGCCCTGGTGAAGAAGGGCTTGTTTTCACCTACTGTCCACTCCCAAAGACCTGCTGCAACCCCATTCACCAGGGCCCGGCTTGCTTAGTGATGAGCCCGAATCTTCAGAAAATGTAGTTAGGTTTTGACATGGCAATCTGTGTGCAGTGTGTGAGGGCATTTGTGGGGGGCTCCTGGATGCTGGCTGTGTCTCCTCAGCTCCCATGCCCTTCATCTCACTAGGGGTGTTGGGGAGTCAGAATGACATCAGACTGGGGTTGAACAACAAAGAGAAGGTTGGTGAGTCTGGTCAACTGCTGACCGTGAAAAGGCTATCTCCCTGGGGTCCAAAGCCACAGGTTTGGGGGCTGTAAGGAGAGAGCTGGGGCAGATCACCCGGGACCTACAGGGCTGTTCACTTCTGAATCACTGACACTAGCTGCTAGGCTTGGTGCTCCCTGGGGCAACATGGGAGAGGAGCAAACCTCTCACACTTACCAGGGGGTGACGTTGAGCAGGTTGCCGAGGCTTTCTGACCCTAAGTTTTCCCCTCTGTAAACGGGCTAATAATCATACTGATCTGATAGGGTGATCATGAGAACTGAAGAAGCTTACACAGGGAAGTCACTTAACAGATGCTTTATATTTACTAAGTGCTCAGTTGTTGAGCTTGTTCTACAAAAACTCCAGGTAGAAACCTTCGAATTGAAGTTAGGTTAGTAACTTCATTGAAAGCAATGTCCTACATGAGGTCACTGCTCAAATCACATCATAATAAGTAAACCTCCATAACACATCTAAGTAACTCAATAGATAGGGCCTGTATTAGTTTCTCATTGTCGCTGTGACCAATTATCACACACCAAGTAGCGCAAAACAACACAAATGTATTATCTTACAACTCTGGATTTAGAGTCAGAAATTGGCCTTATGAAGCTAAAATCAAAGGCTGCATTCCTCCCAGAGGCTCTAGGGAAAAACCCATTCCTTATCTTTTCCAACTTCTAGCAGCTGCCTGCATTTCTTGGCTTGTGGCCGCATCACTCCAACTTCATCTCCTTTCATCACCACATCTCCTTTCTGACTCTTACCCTCCAGCCTCCCTCATATAAGGACCCCTATGATTATACTGGATTTACCCAATAATCCAGGATAATCTCCCCCCCTTGAGATCCTTAACTTAATCATATCTGCAAAGTCTCTTTTTCCTCGTAAGGGAACATGTTTGCAGGTTCAGGGATTAGGGTGTGGACATCAGGGGATCATTATTCTGCCCACCACAGGACCTTACCCCACCCAGATGCTACATGGATTCATGTAAATACTCAACCGAACAAAATTCCACATCAGCTAGCTGCCTCCCAGGAGTTTGCAGAGTGAGACAGAACCGTCAGGTAGCCCTGCCCAACAGAGATCTTTGGGGAACCTCTGGTGTTGGGTATATATCAAATCTCAGCTATTTTGGAGCCAAGTATCCATGGGTCCCAGGTGGTTGAACAGGTAATATGAAACGGGACAAGGTGCTGGTGCAGGTCTGGGGACAGCCTGGCTTTCCCAGGTGGCGTTTCACGATCCTCTTCTTTTTCCTCTTGGCACCAAGGTTGTGGGATACAGGAAAGGGAGGACAAGGAGGGCTCGTCACTGCAATATCCCTGGCTGCCCTGCCAGAACGAGATCTACTGGCAACAGCCCCACTGGCTGATGGGAAAGCTCAACCGTACACCAGCTGCCTCGGGAAAAGTCAAACTTCTGAGCTTTAATGCAGTGCTGAATAAGTATTAATATTTCAGCCCTTGGGCAGAGCGACGCTTGCTACTAGAGAAAGGGGCAGGTCCTACCAGCTCATCTTGGCTCTGGAGAAGGGCAATTACGTTTGTGAAATAATGTTGTTCGTGCAACAACTTCAAGGCTTTTGGAATGGACAGCTGCCACCTCAACCTTCCAGCTCCCGCTGGCCTCCCGGTGCCATGTTTATAATGTCTGAGCTCCTGCAATGACTGTTACAGCCCCATGATGTCAACTCTGACTTGGCTGTTAAGAAGGCCTCCCTCTCCCCGGGGTTTGCACAAAGGAGGCCTGTGGAGAGGCAGCAAGGCTTCCTGACCACAATTTCTTGCACCATCGCCCAAACGGCTGCCTGTAAAAATTTTATGGTTACTGATCAGACAGGGGGCTTGAAATCAGAGTGGGATGCTGTCTCCCTCGTAACTCTCTTTGTTTGATTAGCTATTGTATTGCGCTGGTGCTCTTTAGGATCTGGAAATTAAAAGCTAACTTGAATTTCCAAGTAATAAAATTCACTGAAGTCACTAAATAGAGGCACACTAGTAACCACTTCCTGTAATAAAATCCATGTCGGGCTTGACAAATAGCACCAAAGACTCCGGTTCTTCTTTTTTTGGAAATGCAGAAAAGCTACTGTCTGAGGGCAATGTAGTGTCCCCTGAAAAGAGTGCTACCTGTGGCCAGTCCCTCCCTCCCTCCGTGGAGGTGGCTTCAGGCTCCTGGGTCTCTCTGTGTGTCAGATACTGTAGTGTTCACCCCAGGCCCTGTGCTTGCCTGCTTTCAAGATCAAATTCTCCTTCGTCTTGGGCCCCTTGGTGACCTGTTCTGCCCCCTCCCCCGTGACATTTTGGTCTCTTTAATCCTAACACACACTTCTGCTCCAGCCTCTTCCCTGGAGTCTTGCTGAGAAGGTTCCCACTGCCCAAGCGAGCACCCCCCGGCTGAGACAGTCTTCTTTGTTCCCCCCACCACCAGGCTCCCCATTTCCCTGTCTGGTCCTCCCCCAAATAAATGCACCAGGATGACTTCAAGTCCAGCCAGCACGTCTCCCTCCCCTTCCCTTCCTGACCACCCATGGCACTTAATTCCTGGGGGTGTGTGGCAGCTCGGGCAGGGTCTCGGTCCTGGGTACACAAGTGAACCACAGGGCTGCCCGACCTCAGCTCTCTTGGGGACAGCGGATGAGCTCAGCCGCTTCCCCTTCCCCTCCCTGAGTTCTCTGGGCCTCTTCCCAGCCAGCCCCACCTTCCTGACACTGCACGTGATGTTCCAGGAAGGGACCCTCTTGTCCTAGATCATGAAGTTTTATATCAACTCATGTTTTTCTGTCTTCGTTTCCTCTTTTTGGAAGCTGCCCCAAAGCAACGGCCACGTTGAGGAGTTGACCGTGCATGTCATCCCCTCTGGCTTTCCTTTCTCCAGTGCCAGGGACGCCCGGCACTCACTGGTGTGAGGCGGGCAGCATCACACTCACCGCGCTGTCAAAGCCAAACCTGCCTGGAGGGAAGTGCCAACACACTGCTGTGCTGCCCGCGCCTTGTCCTGGCACACAGAGGAAGAAAGACGCAGGTACGTGAGCCAGGAAGCCAAGGCGAATCACCATCCACAGCCGTGTCAGCCCGGGAAGTGCCCGGGAACATTATCCATCAGCTGTTAAGTAGTGGGGCAAATGCCTCAACCCAGGGCCACCTGAAATTCAATGGCCAATGCCACCCCACTGCCAGCTTGCCATGACAAGCTGGTCCCATTTTGAGGGAAACTGGGACTTACAAAGAGGTCGAGCTTTTTGAAACCCAGGACTCTGAAATGTGCAAGAGCTGTTTGCTTGTTAGCAGTGCTCTGGTCACCTTCCAAGAAGCAATTATGTGGGGCCTGGCTCAGTGTTTAAGTAATTAACTGTTTATTTGACTAGACATATACACACATGGGAAAAATCAGAATACTAAAAGTATTCTTTTTTGCTTTTGTTTTTTAACTTGAGCACCGTGGAAGGATGTATGGTTTAGAATTTGCACAATCTTTTTTTGTCCACAGCAGCAAGAATGATCGCTGGGTGTTTGTTCACTGAACCCGGGAGGTGTGTCCTCTTAGCTCATTCAACCCTTAGCTTTGAAGCTGGGCTTGGTCAAGTGCAGAGCCAGCTGCCCTTGACAGGCTCCCAAGATGCTGCTGGTCTCTCCCTAGCTCGGCCTTGATCTCTAACTTCCCTTGATTCATACTAGGAGGGATAATTGCTTCACACAATCAGGGTCACAAGTTGCAATATTGATTTCCATGTACATTTTAAAGAAAGAGCATTTTCCCTTCTTTCGGTTGGTTATGAAGTTGGAGATGTCTGCTCAAAAGCAACGTCACAAGCAACGCATTTAAAAATCCCTAACATTGGAAAGTGTTCAAGGTGGTGCTTAGAGTCTTTTAATCCTCCTATTATGCAGACAAGGGGAAGGTCAGGCCCTCACAAGTGGCTCAGGAGTTTCCACTTAGCACATCTTCCCGTCTGTAGGGGAGGGCCAGCTTTGAGATCTGTTGACAGTTGGTGCCCAAACAGATTAGGTTTCTACAGAATTCTGTTCGAACATGCATGCCACCCTGTTTCCACCAGGCAGCAGACGGCCGGGATAAGTGGTGCCTCTCTGAGTGCTGACAGAGGCACCAACGAGCCCCACTGTAAGCACACTGGTCCACACCCCACTGGCACTCTCACTTCTGTTTGCGTGGCCTAGATTTGCAAGTTCTAAGGGTAATACCAATCCCAGGGAACATCTGCTGAGCGCTTACTATGTGCCAGGCACCTTAGTCAGCCGCTCAGGTGCATGAGTTCATTCAATCCTCAAAACAATCCCATAAGGTCTTCCTATTGTTAATCTTATTTTACAGACGAGGTAATTGAGGGTTCCAAGGTGAAGAAGCAACTTGCCCAGGTAAGTGGTAGAGCCAGGGTTTGAGTTAGGAGGTCTGAGCCTATGTTCTTAATATGCTATGCTGCCTTGTAATGTGGACATTTCTAGGCACTCTCAGTCTTTTTGGACAGAGTCTTTAGCACGGCAGAACAGGAATGGTGGATGAGTCCCCAGTGGGCTCTTTCCTAGAGTCCCAGGCTATGGCTTCTCCATAATAATAACATTTGTATCATTTAGTGAGAATTTAGCATGCGCGTGCGCACACACGTTTCATGCGGGTAATCTCAAATCAGCCCTGAAAAATGTACCCAGGTCTTGTCAGGAGCCTTAAAAATGTAAAACAAAACTGGCCAGCTTGCTAACACTGCCACTCCCAAGCACACGGTTCCCTGACTTGTTTGCACACGCATCGTCATGGCTCCCTGGCAGCCTGACCTTACAGAAGGCTGGCCCAGGCCTGGGGGTAGCCGCAGCCGCCATATACGGATCCCAGGCTCCTTGGTGGCTGGCGGTCCCGGGTGGTTATAGGTACTCACGTTGATTTACCACAGATTTTCCTCTGGTACCACTGCTTGCAGTTGGTGAAGTACTTCTTGTTGGTGCCAATGACCTTCTGTACAGCACACACGTTGGGGCTGAAAAAAAAGTAGCCATGTTAACAAGATGGTCAGCATGTCCACCCCATCTCCACGTCCTCCCCACCCTGTGGGTCTCCTGGGTCATTAGAACATTCTAGAACACTCTAGATATGGAGAAGATACAGTCATTTCAGTCTTGGTACCAGGGGGTGGCTTGGAGGTAGACACTGACTTCCTGACCTAGATTTGCAACAGCCCCCTGGAAGTCACCCCCCAAATTAAAAATTGTCAAAGTACATCACACACATAGACATAACTTCTTCATATAAGTATCCTTCTTTGACATGACATTTAGTAAGTGGAAGTAAAAGCACCTTAAAATTTTAGACTGCACGTTACGGCTTGAGAAAACTAAGTAAGAGCGGTGCATTTGCTAAGCAAAGTAGCTTTGCAAGAAGCCCCCAGCCTTTCTCTGCATCTCCACTGCACACTGAGCCAAAACATCTACAGGCGCTACCCTGCCATCCCAGGGCACGGCGGTGGCCCTGCTGTGATGAGGGGAGGCTGAGGTCCGGGCCCTGCACCTCCCAGGCAGCTCCACACACAGACAAGCTCTGCGTCCCTAGGCCATCTGCCTGGCTCCCAAACACAACCCATCAGAGTGCCACCCTGGAAACTAGATGACACAGTTGGCTGCTATCAGGACCTCAGTAGAAGACACTCTGAAACTCTGCGTCCTTCGCAGCTTGAGTCCCACTTCCCCCAGAAAGCTTTCTTCCAGTGCCCAAGGTGACACTCGTCTGTCCACCTCTGAGCTGGGGTACAGCCTTCATTTTTAACCCGTTACCAGACAGAACCCTATAACAGACTAATGTGTGTATGTCTCCTCTCTTCAACAGCCCTCCAAAGAACCTAGAGGGCAGGTGCTCTGCCTGTTCTTCCTTTTATCTTACAGATGGGACCCAGCACTGGGTCAGCAGGAAGGAGCAACTTGGAATGAATGTGAATGAACAGAATATAATATTGCTCCCGGGACCACCCAGTGCAGAAGGAGCCTCAGAACCTCTGAGGAAAAGCTGAATGCAAATGCCCCAGGTTTACGCCGAGAAGCTTTCCCCAGAGATGTGGGGTGCTGTTTTTATGAATTTTATTCTAGTGTACCCAGTCCTGACCCACACTGTGCCCAGTCCATGTGGTGGCAGGACCTTCATTAGGAGTCCCTGGGGAAAGGAGGCAGCTGTGGCTGGGGGGTGGGGGTGGGGTGGGGTGTGTCTTTCCAAGCAAGAGGCAGGCAGTTTATCTGGCTGATCACAAGTCAGAAGAAAGCAAAGCGAAGGGACTGAGGGCTTTCACACCACCTGCGTGCTCAGGGAGCTTCAGGTATCATTCTTTCATATCAATCCCTCTGTTACTTTAAGGTGCAATCCATAGAAATCATTTGATGCGCACGGTATTTTTCAGAAAGACACTCATAGGGCAGTGACAGCTACACCTGCCATGCCCATCTCATCAGCTGCAAGAACCTGGTCAATTCTCAAATACTCAGGGCCAGGTTACGGGGTGACAGAGCATGCCAACCCTTTATTTCTTTGCCCTGTCCCTTCTACCATGTGGCTGTTACCTCTTGTCCAGTTTGTGGTTCAGTAGGCAAACATGAGTGGGCCAAGGAGGCACAATTGAATGGAGGTAAGGGCCTGAGCGTGAGGGAAGGCAGGAGAGAAAGCCACAGGCTGGCAGGGAGATGAGCCCATGTCCCCTTCATCCCAACTGGGTCTGGTCAAATGCCCGCAGCTCTCAGAGGATCCTAATGAAAGCCACCTTGCTTCTCTGTTTGTTGTCTGGGAGCCATAGGTTACAGCAGTCCCCAAATAGCCCCTGGAGAGTTCCTGCTAGCCACACTCCAGTCCTAGGTGTACAACCTTAGAAGTTCTTCTATCTTAGCAAGCAGGAAACGATTACTGTCGAATGCCCTGCAACTTTCCAAAGGCGTTTGGCGAATCTTCAGGGAGTCTCTCGTGGAAGTGGCTCCAACATTCCTCCGCAGCGTGAGTTTCCACTGCTGCTAACTTTTGAGTCCAGCGCAGAGGCTGGGATGACCCGCTCCCTCTCACAGCAGGGTGAGAGGGGTGGGCTGTGCATATAGGAAATTCATGCTGAAGTTTCATCAACATGAGCAAGCCACGTCTGGACCTCCTGCCTTATGCACAGCAGCTCTGCTGTTCAACCTGGGTTTGAAAATCAAATGCTTCAGGAAATTCAGTCCAGTTTTGGCTGTTGATATTCAGAAGTGTGGCTGCATTTTTACTTCTCTTTCAGTATTAGGTTTTTCCTTCCCTATAGCAACACAGATACAGCCGGGAGTCAAGAGACCATGTCATAGTCACGACTCTCCCAACAGCTTTCTGTGTTTGCATTAAGTCACTCCACCTCACTAAGCTGCAGTGTCTCCATCTGTAAAATGGGAACACGAACAATCGAAGCAAAAGAGGTAGTGGATGATAAAGGGCTACACACCAGCATGACCCCCTCATCATGTTTTCCTCCACGTCTTGGAGCACACTGCAGTTCCTCAAAAGAGCGAAGAGATTTCCCTTCCCTTTTCACCAGTTCTCACTTTGAATGAAGGGCTGGAGCTTGAACTAGGTTATCCATTTTGCAAGGGATGCCCCACCCACGCGCAAGGCCAGGCAGCCCTGTGGTATTTTCAGGAGCAGTTGGATCAGAGTAACCACAATTGCGCCTGCATTTTGTCACAGTCCATCTGCCTGTGCATCGTGACTCTCCTGGGGGGGCGGGGCAGGCATGTGTGACGTCCTAGACTATTCTGCCCATTAAAGATCACTATAGGCCTTTCCAACTGCACCACAAGAAGCTTGTCTAAAGGATTAGACTGCAGGAGTATTGGGGGGTAGGTGTGTGTGTGTGTGTGTGTGTGTGTGTGTGTGTGTGTGTGTGTGTGTAGGGTGGAGAGGAAATTGATCTAATTTCTGAAATTCATAATAAAGACCACTTACATTAAAAAAAAACCCAAAACGTTTTCTGGCTAATTAGCATCTCTTCTGTGCTCTGAAGGGAAGGAGGTTTGGTAAAGAGATAGTTCTTGGTGAAACGCTGTCAACACTTTTGGGGAAGCTCCACTGTGGTGCGCACAGACACCATTTGGGGTGACAGTGCTACAGGGCATACTATTGGGGTCTTCTGACATAGTGGCTAAGATACCGATGGAACAGAAACCTCCCAGGCAGGTACATAACATGCTTCATTTGTAAGAAAGGCAGAGGGACAAAGGTGAGCTGAGCAGAGGGAATGAAAATGCCAGCTGCTCACAGTTCAACTTTTAGGCCTCGTATTCCTCTCATCTTTCTGACATGCCCCCTCACCCTTTTGTACCAGCCCAAGTCAAAGGTGATTCTCCCACTTCCCGAAAGAGCCCAGGACATCCCCGGAGCTCCCCTCTTTCCAGGAAGGTATTGAGTCTGTGGCATGGCCTGGCTTGCTTTCACTCTGCAGAGTGGCCAGACACTCCCTGTAGCCCTGGGCACGGGAAAGTCCAAGTAAGTGCATGAGGCCACAGGTAGAGGGAACCAGGATAACTACCCAAGCCCCGAGCACTCCTGGGGTGGGAGCCAAGGCTTTGTAAAGTCCTATGAAGTCAACTCTAACCACCCCTAACACTGAGCTTTGATCTGAGTACAGATCTGCCCACTCATGTGGAGGTCTGGGCACTACCTGGGTTTGCATGCCAGACCCCATGGCATTTGGGCTGCTACACAGCCTGACTCTACCCACATAGAGTTTTACCTAGTTGTGGAAAAGGAATCAGTACAACCAAGGTAGGCTGGAAGTGGCAGCGAAGCCTGGCCATGTGTGAGCAGGGTGGCCTAGACGGGATGTAGAAATACTGCCCATCTCCGCCTGGGTTTGCCAAGCTCTTTACCAGGTCAGACCCTCTGTTTGCCTCTTTTTTTTTTAAATTTAGTTAATTTATTTCTATATTAGTTTCAGGTGTACGGAACAACATAATGACTAGACATTTACACCCCTCACCAAGTGATAACACCCCCCAAGTCTACTAGCCCTCTGACACCATATATAGCTGTTACAATACCACTGACTATATTCCCTATGCTGTACTTTACATCCCGTGACCATATATATATATATATACACACACACACACACACACATATATATATATAAACACATATATATATATATACACACACACACACACATATATATATATACACACATATATATATATATATATATACA